TTCCCCCCCCCCCCCCAATATTATATTTGCTTGAGGCTCCTGTCTGAATAATTTGCTTTAAATTTTGAACAATATATGTCTCTAGTGTATACATTGTATTTCTTCCTTGTGTCAGTCTTGGCTCCACTATGAGCGTAAGATGAACAACAAAGAAGAGTCACCATGTGTTCAGCCTGTCTGTTTGTCTTTCTGCTTCACATCCTCTGCTCCTGACTCACATGAGGATCTGTTACTGAGTGGGCAACAAGCACCAGGTGGCTGCAATCTAAACCACTTTAAATAAACTGCACATTTTGAGTTAAACGCAAAGGACAGAGCAGGTGGCAAAGCAGTGCTTAAGTAACTTTTAAAGCAATACTGAGTAATCTTGTTCTTAATTGTAAACTTAATGTTTTTTCTTTATCAGCAGCAGAATAGCTCACACAACATTCAAGTCAACAGTTATATAGTTAAGTGAAACTGTGGCCAAGGTTCAGAAAATGTTTATGACGTTAAAGTTCATAAAAATAGCTGGATATGGTAATGGACTGTGGCAGAGACACAGTAATCTGTCGAAAGTTATAACTGAGAGTGTTATACTAGGAAGTGGTTGACCAACTGTAAACACATTTGCTGCTCACCTGGTAGGATTGGCCAACAACAGAAACAGGCACTGATATCGGCTACTGGCTGATCAGAGGCAGAAAAACAAGGCAGACGCACATATACGCACACACAGAGCTACACGCCAAGGCTGAAGTGACAGCGAGCTCCTCAACAGGCCTGAGCCAAGGTCTTCCTCAGTGATCACAACACATTTCTGTCTGATAAGCCCTTTGCGCAATACATAGATGCAAGTGTGCACTCTTTCTCTCTCTCCTTCCCATTCCTTTGAAAGCCGATGATTTCGAAATCATTCACAACAGCCATGGGGCGGCGGGTTGGAGGCGGTAGATTGGCAGGCAGAGCATGAGGTCAAAGCTGGATATCAGGCCCAACACATAATAGACACTCACACACACACACACAAATCTGAAACACATACATGGCTTAACATACGAAAAGCACTTGAGAGACGCACGTGATCTCAGACATACTGTTTGCTTGTGTCATCGTATGCGACAGAACATTTAGCGCTAGACTCGTATTTATAACTCCCCATACACCAACTATGAATGTGACCTTACACTAGACAGGCTCTAACAGGATAAATAACCCTCTTTACAAGCACGGTTTGCCTTTTATGTCTGCGAGGATATATGACTTGATATATGACAATACATCAAAATCAGTTGGTAGAGAACACACACCCACACACATACACACCAGGTTTTTCACTTCCCTCTTATTCTTTGCAAACAGTGATTTATGCTGAACGGGGATATCCAAGTGACGCCACTATCAGACATTGGAAAGTAAATAAGAAGTCACTTTCTGCTTTATCAACATCAGATGATATACTGTAGCAGAGCACATCGGTACACATTCCAGTGCACAAAAGCTACAGATTTACAATACTGTACACTTGTTTGAAGCACAGGCATCGCTTGATTTACGTTTGTACCTGTGATCCTGGAATGTGGGACATATACTGTACAATAACTGTTATGACTTACTGCTCTTGACAACAGGTACACTGCCTTTTGTGTTAGTGCATAAATCACGGAATTGGGAGGATGAGCCATGGCTGTGTACATGTTGGGAAGAAATTCCCAAGCAGCTTGAAGTCTCCCATCTTGGTAAGAGCAAACATGTGACTGGAAACACACATACAGCACTTCTGTAGTCACACATGGAGACACGCACTCTTGCTTAAACACACCACAGGGAAAGTAGACATCAACAACTTCCTTCTGGGGAGAAAGGAATTCTATATCTTTACTCTAAACACACCCAAAGGTTTGAACTTAGATTTGGATCTTTTTAGTGAATGTTTATTGTTGGAACAAACACTTTTTCTATGCATGATTAACAGATTTTAATGAAAATGTATCCCCCCCACAGTTTGGCCCATTGCTACTTTGTACTTGCTTTGGTCATTTACACCCTTTTGGGAAGGTAATATATATTCACTATTTTCTACTTTTCTATGTAGTAGATAGTATGTGATTGGATAATTTATTAATGTATTACAGTTTACTGAATCTTGTAATAATATGTGTTCTACTTTTGCCCCATTCATAGATGTTTTGTGCCTTGTATGGGAGGCACTGTTGTGACCATTGCACATGCAAAACACATATGCTGTTATGGAAGGGAACGCACGCACACACACATGCAACCTTGTTTGCTGGTGTGAAATCCAGGGATTGTGGCAGGGTTCAGAGTTCTCAGAACACCAGCAACGCACAGCGGGTCTGCCAGAGGAACCACAGAGAGTGAGACACACATGCACAGAAACATACACACGCCACGGCAGCGCTGTCAGTGAGTCAGTGTGTGAGTCACACTCCGGCTATGCTGCCTCTCGATTTTATAACAGCCGCCAGCACGGCACTGTATTTAATATTCCAAACAACTGTACTGTAGGACTCCGTGGCACATATATTAACATATGCATTTACTGTACATATATTTTCACACACACATTTCCTTTGGCCAAATACGCCTGCACAAAAAAGACTAAGATGTTATATTCACCCATATACATGTTCACTTTCATGCCTTTTCTCCTTGATTCAAACACACACACACACACACACACACAGATGCACACATCATTGGGGATCACTGCAGATGCGTCAGAAGGGGAGAGGAGGGATTCCTCCTTGAGTGTCAAATCTATAGGAGAGCCAGTCATAGGGTTCTGCACCACAGATACAGACTCCATTATATTTGACCTATGACTCATTCCCCTACACATTCTCACAGGAGTGTGTTTGCAGATTTTGGAGGAGGAAAATATAGCAAGGTGTGTATTTAAAATATCAGATCAAGACATGTCTTTATATCTGTGTCAGACTCAGAGGTGGAATATTGAATCCCTGCCTTTCACACTGACACAGCAGACAAAAAACACTGGCTGATCTGGTGGATGCCAGGTATGCATCAAAAGGACTGACCCACTTGCATGTACTGGTAGAATCAACTCAGGCTCAGTCAGTTTTGTTATTGTTTATAAAAAACTGCACTCTCAAGAGGGCGGAGGCCAAAATGATTAAGTCATTAAGTCATGTTTTAAATTCTAAAAATACAAAAAATAACATATCTGTAAATCTGATTTTGTCTCACAGTTCAATGCTCAGTTTTGGCTTACAAAAAACAATCAGTCTGCTTCCCTAAAGCGGTAAATGATAACAGGCGACACACACACACACACAGCAGATACCTACAGGTCGAAAAGAACACAATGTCTCCATATCACAGCTTCCCAAATTAAACAGTCCAGGTAAGAAAACTCTTTAACATCACCCTCTGGTGGCGGCTTTGAGGAAGTGAAAATCTCAGTAAGTGTGCCAAAGCATTTCAAAGGCAAGGTTTTCTCAATCTCAGGAAAAAGCATGACTCATTTGCTTTTAACCTTTCTTACTTGGCATTTCAAGGTGCATGCAACTTTTATTGGTGGTATTGGAAGACACCTGAAGAACCGTATTGAAAGAAATGAGCAGTTTGTTTTGATGTTCAAGGAAGAAAACCCTATGGCACATGAGAAGTAAGATCAGTGGCTGAAGGGAAAGGTACTGCATATGGAAGCAGCTGCATGAGGCTGTGCAGAGGTTGTGACGTACGCCGTGGGTGATGGATTTGATAGGAGTGGCATGACGCTGAAGGGCAATGACTCAGAGTCAACGATAAGGACCTGGGGTTGGGACTGACCTCTCTCATCTATCCCTCTTCCACCTCCTCCTTTCAGTTCACATCTGGTTCTTTGCATGGGTATCTTTGTTGTTTTTCAGCCTTTGTTTTTTTTTTACAGTCAATGACTCATAACTTAACCTTGCTTCCTTTGTACCTTTGACTCTTGGCTAACATGAAGATTGGTCTCTCTTTTACATCTTACCTCAGAACATTCCTTCTTTTTGTTTCTTTCAAGACCTCTTTTCTCTCACCGGTCACCATCCATTCTTCTACTCCGTGATCAGGGAGTGGAGCCTTTGGGTTTATCTGTGATTGGGAAAAACTCTCTGACTCACTCGCACAAACACACTTTATAGGTGATGACTCATTGCAACACAGGCCATTCAGATCCACAGTACACCAAAGTCAAACTGCAATGAGTGCGTGTAAGTGTGACTGTGTTTGCATACACATTAACCTTTATATGCATTAAGGTGTTGTTGCGCAGAGGGCTGATGACACAACACCTACACAGCTTTTATCTCACAGTCACTGAGATAATCAGTGTTGCTGTAAGGCAGGTTTTGGTTTCGGCCCTCATATCTGTTGTATCAAAAGTATTGAAATATAGTTGTTGCTTGCACGTCTACACAAATACCATTTGTGCATGTGTGTAATTGTTGCCTTTAGTGTTTTACTTTCAAACAGGTACTAATATAAACCTGTAATATGTTTGTGTGTACAAGTCCAGGGGCGGAAAAGTATTCATCATGACATGGGCAGCGGAGGAATGATAAATGTGTTGAATGAGTCATGCGAAAGAAACATAGGAGCCATCAGCAGACACAGTGGCAGCAGCAGCAGCAGCAACAGCAGCAGCCTCCACTGTGACAGACAACACATAATGTAACACACACATACATATAAACCCTGATAAACACAGACAGCGTGGTGCAAAATGTCCCTGGCTTCGTTTGTACCACTTTAGCATGTCTGTGGAAGAGATGAGTCACTTTCAACTGCAGTCGTCACGTAACTACTGTCACTTAGACTGATTCACACTCTGAACAATTTCTAAAATAACAATCAACCTCTCTGCTGCCATTTTCATGCAAAGTGACTGAGGGTACACCATGTACTCATTATAGAATAGCAATTCACTGGAACAACGCAAAATGTGAAAACTTCTTTTTTTATTTATAAAGATGACTAACACGGTGCAATAACATTCACTGATAATATAATACAGTTGAATATGTAATGTGTTTTTTGGCATTGTGTGTTATATATAAATATAGCTAAGACAATAATTGGCTGGCATTTCAAAGACTACTGTTAGTAAAGAACAAACACACAACTACATCACACTTGCACTACAATACTGCTCAGACCACCTGTGTGAGGTGATTTTCGGCAATGATTATAAAACAGTAATACACCTTTCCATATCATTTCTGTTCCATACAGACAAACACAACAAAGGATAAAAAATTAATGCTCATGATCTGTGTCCTCCTCTTCGTCCTCATCATCCTCCTCCTCTTCAGATTCATCTTCATCCTCTTCGTCATCCTCTTCCTCCTCCTCTCTTCTCGTCTGCCGACTGCAAGCCCTTTGTTGCTGTGACAACAAATAAACAGTCACTATGCAACTAAAACACTTAGCAGGTAGTCATTAAGCACAATTGGGGCTTCCATTGGGTCGGTTTTCTCCTGAATGTTTCTCTTTCACTTGGGTTGCGGTTAGGAGCAGAGATAATGCAGGTACAGACCACACCCTAATACGCACAAACAGCAGATTTCTCAGGTCACATTTGTTTATTTTTGTAATACAATGCTATAATAATATAAATATGTCCAATGGTGTTAAAGGACTGTCAAGTTCATATCCTGGCATGTGTGTAACAACTAAGAATGAGATTTTCTATATGAGCATTGTCATGTTTTACTTATTACTTATTTTTATCTGGTATGCAAACAGCACTTTTCTATCTGCACTATACCTGACTGCAAGTGTGCTTCTTGTTTAGCAATGATTGTAGATTCCTGCTGATAAAATCAAACCTAATCATTGAAGTATGATCTCAAGTTGTGACACAAGACGCATTTCAGCCAATCTGATTGTGCGAGCTACAATCTGGACGTCTGCAGTTGTAAGATATGACGTATGAACACACCCTAAGGGACCTAAAGGTGACAGTTCTCCAAAGATATCAAATGATACTCCTCATTTAGTGAGAAAGAGAACATTTCGTAAGGCAATCCTAGAAACTCACATGTCAGTGCAGTACAACTGTTTGGATGGTAAACTGAATGTAGGAAGAAATGCATGATGTTGCTGACATGCAATGACGTGTGGCGATTCAAACTGAATGATGGCTGTGGTGATGCTGCACATAAACACTGGCATGACTGATAAGATTATCGAGCACTCTACTGGTATAAGAAGGACTACTGGGTTTGAAAAGAAGGACTCATCACAATGAAAGTTAGACGACTGTCAAAGTTAAAGATAAAAAAAGTCCAAAACAGGGCTCTTCGAGGGAAATTCTAGTTATTGTCGTAGAAGATCTATGCACTGCCTGTATCTTACCTGTAAAGTCCCTGTTGTACTCAGGAAGGACCCGGTCCGATCAAGGGAGGTTTTGGAATTAGCTCGCACTATGTCTAAGCGTGACTGGTAGTCAGGGGGGTGCAGCGAACTCCTGAACACCTGCCAAAGACAGTAGGCGCTATATTTTTCCAAAGAGAAACAGGAGAATGGAAGCAATGCCTACACACACCCATTGGCAATCTCAATGTGTGCACTGAATAACCCTGAATTTAAAAAAAAAATGACTTGACTTGCTCCCACAGTGTGCAGTGTTAACGCAGCTCAACACATGCAGTTCAGAGATGTTACGCAATAACAAACAACTTAAATACTTGAATACAACCTGGAATATCCAGCAAATCAACAACTGGGCTGCCAATCTTTCACATGTAAACAAAGCAGCTCAGCAGGTATTCTGATAACAGAGCAAACTGCCATTTAAGCCACAATGACGGTTTTCACTGTGTGGAAGATAAATTCTGCAAGAGCTCTCGATCAGGATTATCTTCATGCCTGTCATCAATCTCCAATGCTTTGTTCTATGAGTCATTGAAAAAACAGCCTTGTCTGGGTGAGGAGTTTCACTTCAATATGAATGGAAGGGAGATGATTCAGTGCAAAAACACACAGATGAGATGGCATGGGGTGGAGGAAAACAGCATAAGGGCAACTGAAAAAGGAACATCGCTCTCTTGAACATCACTGATCCTTTGTTTTCTCACTACAGGCTTTGTCTCTTGTAATAGTCCGACAGACCTATCAAAACCCGTTGTAAACTACTACTGTAAGAAACTAGGTAGCATGACTCTGAATTGTGTGCATAATTCACCCCAGGTCACTTCAAAGTTACCACATCAATTAAAGGGTGCGGGCAATAGAGTATGCATGAGCAATGAGTCTATGAGTAATGGTTGCATAAGACCATGATTACTTGGTCTTAAATAATCATCAGGTTAATCAATTGCACGGCAGAGGGTGTACATAGAAGCTGATCTTTTAGCCCTATTACACTATCACATTTACATATACATCCTTTTTCTCAGAGTGGCACTTCAACCTATATTTATACATTATTATTTTTCAATCTATATTTATAAACACAAACACAATGCTTGCATTAGCCTACCTCCAAGTCCTCCTCCTCATCCACACTTTGAATACTCTGGTAGGCCAGGGTGTACACCTCCAAGGCCTTGGCATGGAATGACATCTCCACTGTCACAAACTCACCAAAGATTTTCTACAAGGGGAAAGACAGGGATGATATATATGTACAGGTTTTGGCACTGTTTAAATGAATAACAAGACAAGGCAAAACAATAATAGTTTCAAACAACAAGGGTGAATGAAGTGGTGTGGGCCCAGATATGTGAAAAAAGACGCCCGCTAGGTTTCCAAACCTGGGGGGTTTTAGTTTAAGATATGAACTTTGAAGACCTGAACACAAACTATATTCACCTTCACTCTCGGCTAAACAGCCTCGTCCTGCATTAGAAAAGTATGCAGTTAAAACAAACAAAGAGCTAACAGAGCAATGAGAAGAAAGCTCTGAACTTGTCAGAAAAGAAGCCTATTAAGTATGAATGATTGTTAAACATAAAAAAAACAAAATACAAAAAGGGAATTATATAAAAAGACGCTAAAAATATCAGGAAAACTCATCTCTGATGTCATATTCAGAGGAATTACAATGTGGGTTAATTGTACAGTCATCAGTTGTTCTGTACTGTTATTTTTATGCATTAAATATATTATGAAATATCCACAAAATGTGTCACTTTAGTCAGTAACAGAAAAGGGATCCCTTAAGGAAAAACTTAGGGAATCACTGCTCTAAATCACCACTGTCTGGTTTCACTTCACTGTCAGCCACTGCTTCAACGCACATATACTTCCCACCACACAAATTGTAGTTCTTAATTTGAAGTGGATGGAAAACTCAGCGCAGCAGACCTTGATGTCCCGGATCTTCTGCCTCTCGAACTCGTCTATGGTCTCCTCCAGCTGCCTGGTGGTCCGCGTGGCATCCATTGTGGCTCTCTGGAGCTCACTTTCAGCCTGAAGGCAGAACAAATGAATATACTACAAATATAATTCAAAACCAAACACAAAATCAGACCAACACAGGAGGTTGAGTTAGGCATCAGTGTGTCACAATACAGTATAAACACAGATATTCAGCATTATTCATTTTTGTGCCTGTTGATTTAATCAATTAGAAAATGGATGCTTGATACCCAAGTCAGCAGTACCAAAAGTCTTGCATGCATGCGATTTAACACCTTGAACCCACACACCCACACACACACCAAACAGGTGCTATATAAAGCAATCAGCTGCTTTTACTTTCATTGGCTATAGGTGATGCATGTTGTGTATAACTGGTCTGACAACGACTAAACACACTCTTTTTGTGGCGAAACTGCGAGTTGTGAATTTATTCATTGACCTCTTTTAACATGTTGGAAGATTTCTGTTTGACTCGTTACACTTAAATGTCAAAGTAATTGTGAATTGTGAAAATGTGAAATGTGTTTCATCTTTGTGGTTATACATCACCAGATTACATGGGACACACCTGAGACTGAGGGCGCGGTCAAGGAAACACCAAAAAACATTTGCCTGTTGTGTGTGTTTACTTTTGCATGTGGTTCGTATTACAACTGGGTACAAATTGTTCTTGTGTGGAGGGGAAGTAGAGGGGAAGATACTGTGAAAGATAACATTCAAAATGTGTTTAAGTGTATTTCTATGTTGCAACATTCATTCATATCAATAACTAACAGGGGATTAAGCTGGAACCAAGATATCACATGCACTAAAAAAAGTATATAGGTGTTTTTTTTGTAACATTAAAAGTCATTTGTCTGTGTCTGACATTAGGGAATTGGAGAAACAAGACAAGGATACAATGATCTGCCTGTCTGAGGGGTTTCTCTGTCTGGTCCTCTCAAGCTGAGCCATCTGTTTGGCCTCTCTGTCTCTGGCACTCTGAGTTGTCTTCAGATCCTCCTGCATGATACACAAGCACACAAGGACACAGTAATCATTATGAGAAAAAAACAATGATTGTCAATTATTCATAAAATAATGTCAGTTTTTCAAATCAATTAACATTTTGTGTGGCTCAGTGTGCAGATTAAGACCTCAAGTACACCCTGTTGTGCAGGTTTTTGTGTCATCTTTACTCTGTAACAGTTGGTGATAATAATATGCTGAAGAATTATAATAATATATATTAGAATATATAATTATTTCAGCATTGACAGAAAATGTTACACAACCAGGTTCACTTTTTTTATGATTAAACTTGAAACGTGTCAAGATTTAATCCAACTTTGGCACACTCACTCTGCTTGTCAAACAATCATTGTCGAAGCGGAATGTTTATCTGGCAAATCTGCCGTTTGAAAGCATTTTAGTTTTTTGAAAAAAAGATGTAGAGGTACTCTTTTGACAGGTCTTTGCAACTGTGAGCGACAGGGCAACACTGATCTGATCATTTATCTTAATAATGTACGACAAAGACTCTATAAGAAACAATGCACTTGATATATATTTTTTAAACCAGAAAAATTGTTTTAATCCTGGTTAAAACAAGATGCTGAGAGGGGCAGATACTGACAACAGCCCAAAGAAAGGCTGGCAGGGTCATTGGGATATTATAATTAAATCACTACTGCCCCCATGTGGCCATTCAGTGGTATTAAATTGCCGAAACTGCCTTCCACACCACAATTCTCATTTTGGTGACACAATTGCTGCTTTCTTGAAGGCCAGAGAAATGTGACCTTCAAAAAAAAAAACAATCTAAATTATACGGAGCGGAGCCAAGGCAGGAAGGTAAACAGTTTCACTGACTTTGAGCTTACTCGTCCATTTCCTGTGGACGTTTTCTGTCAGTGGCAGCAGGTGTGTTTAAAATGTGTTATATTATCAAGCAAGAAAACTGATATCAGTGCGCTGACAAATTACACAAAAGTTAATATATTTAACATTTTGCAATTACTTACAGTCAAACAGTTCTGTAACAAGTTTCTCTTTCAGGGATCATTGTATTAATCTACAATCATTGAAACTGGACCACGGACTGAGCTTCGTCCGTATCATTTGGCATCAACATGGCTGCGGACACTCACCCTTTTACGTTTCACTACAGCTCCATAGCTTTTTAATGGCTCTATGACTTTGGCTTCAAGTCTCTCCACCTGTAAGGCAAATAATGTAATATTAGGTTCTGTCTTACCAAAAAGATTAAGACTGTCGAAGTGTGAATGTAAAATTATGACTCCAGTAAAAGCAGGACATAAATAAAAATGTACTTTTACCTCAGCTTGGCGGTAGTCTTCAATTTTGGCCAAGTGGTCAGCATACTGCTTCATACCCCTCTTCAGGTTTGGCGTTTCTGTGTCTGCGTACATGCCAATTTCCCGGACCAGGATATCTGCCTTGTCTCGTAGCCTGGCTGTTTTACGGACATAGGCAGCAAACATTTGGCACATCTCCCCAAAATGTTTCTCCACGTTAGTGATGTTTTCCTGGATCTTTCTCGTCTGGTTGTCTCTGGAGAAGGTGAAGGACAACATTAGCGACAGTAATCAAACAGTGTTTGGGGACACAAAAGTATTTGTTTCACATATTGGTGTTAGGATGAGATTATAACATGAGTTTTTTCTTAACTAGATCAATGTGTAGCAGGACATTAATAACCAAAACATCTGTGATATATAGAGTTTGTTTTCCAGATTCAGGTTCAGAATCAGCTTCATTGGTTGTATGTAATACGGGGAATTTGACTCCGGTTTTAGGTTTCTCTTAATATACTTAACGTTACTAACTTAAATATAAATAAAAAGCAACAATGACCAACAACATACAGGATAAAACCTATAAATCTTATTATTCCACCGTCGTTTATGACACATCTCTTTGGTACCAGCTGGTATTAGTTAAGTTAGTTACCATTTGGTCATTTGGGAGCTTTATTTAGAGGAGAATAAATCCGTTTCAGCAGCTTGTGTTTGACAGAGAGATTTGTGGATGCTGATAATGTTCTGCGGGTCCACTAAAGGCGTCCTGTGTTTGCACATATTAATGAACACTCGAGTGTAAGTAAGTCATTTACCAGCTGAGTAAGTTAACCTATAATCTCCTCGCTGCTCTTGTGAGGTTGTTTTTTTGTACTTAAACGCTAACGTTAACTTGTAGAGCACTAACATTAACGTTAGTTCCCCTCAACCGACGTTAACGGAGGATTTAACGTTAGTTTGATACGTCGGCTGTCTCTCACCTCGTTCTTGCATCCGGAGTCCGGCTCATCTTTGCAGGAAGGCGGTAAATCAAATGTATTCCGCGAAGTTTACTGAGAGACAGATACTAAACGCTAGCTAACTATGCTTTTCTCTCCCGGGCTAGCACGCCGATCTGCCGTTTCCATGGAGTCGTTTCCGCTTTCGGAGTGCATTCTGGGAGATGGAGTCGTTGGTTGAATTATTTTTTTCTCTTCGCCACTTTCTCCTTCTTGAAGTTTTTGCTGGAGTTGCATGTTCTTTACAATTACAGCTGTGGACTGTGGAGGACACAGAAAGAGCAAGGTGAGGAAAACATAGTTTGTTTTGATTGTTGTGCTGCAAATAAATAATGTGTTTCGCTTAATGTTTCCTCAGTGCTATACAGTATGCTATATAGCCCACTGGTTCCCAACATGGAACCACTTGATTTAAAGGATACTTGAGAAAACTTTACAAATATACTCACACAGGCCTATATCCCAATATAATATATACAAGGTGCAGTGAAGAACTGAACAGCTATATTCACAGAGCCTTCACTCTGAACTGTTAATGCAGGAGGAGGCTGTTTATCAAACAACCAAAAATCTACCCCACATTGAGGCTATTAAAGGTATTTAGTTGTTTAGCAGATTAAGATTATAGAGACAAAACATATGATAAACAATATGATGGATTGTAATGGATTTAACTACTCAACAGGAAAAAGCAGCTGTCTTCATGTTGATGCATTAGCCAGACCAGTCTGTATAATCAGCTCTTTTTATCCCCTCCAGACAAATAGTCTGCGTGGAGTAATCTATTCCTTTTACCTTCATAAAAAATCTACAAATATTCCAATTTCGTTTCCTGCAGGACACAAGATGTCTGCTTCACTTCACTTTAGTCCACTCGAAAATCAGCTTTTCAATGAGCACAGAGAAACTTTCCACTTTCAGTAGATGAATGTGAAAACA